CCCGCTTCCGGGCACGCCCCGGCGGGGGCGGGGACAGAGGCGTGGCCAAGTGCGACGGAGGCGTGGCCAGGGACGAGGGGGCGTGGCCTGGCTTATTAAGTTTCCCTGTAATTAGCAGCCTGCAATAAGGGGACAGGGAAATCACAGCGCTCCCGGGCGCACTGGGGCTGAAAGGGCCGCTCCGCTGCCAGCGCAGGCGGCTCCTGGTGTAAATTCACCAACAAACGTGTAAAGGCTGTCCCTGACTGGGTGTATTTGAGTTACAAACCGGGGGGAAGAGCTGAAGTGAAAAACTCAGGTAATACCTTAGCACAGAGCGCGTGGAGACCTCGGAGCGTTTTCTGTTGGGTTGTATTTTGTGGTGTCAAGGCACAGAATTCGCAGTGCAGTAAGAGATGGGACAGCACTGAGTTCAGGTTTCACACAGCAGGATCAGCCACGCCAAGGGGTGAGGCTGTGGTGTCAGAAGGTGGCAAGGGAGAAGCGTGCTCTTGCTAGGGCCCAGTAAAACTCTCGATTTACCATCCCAGGCTATGGATCGACAAACGTTTTCAGAGATAACCGCAGCGAGCTCCCCACACCTGGGGTAATGCGAGCGCCTGACAATGTGGTTATAATCCCCTTCGCCTACAGAAGGGATGAGCAGTGCCTAACGGGCCACATCGTGCAGTGCTTGCTTTCCCCAGACTGCCACCTTCTACAGCACAGGTGAGTTCCCCTAATGGCTCCAAAACTTGACCCCAGATACCATGGAGCTAAAGATGAAAGCAGTTCCATTCTGTTAAGCTCTTTTTTAGAAACATAGTTCAAGTCACTTTCTACCAACAGGGTGGTATGGACAGGCAAGCGCCCTTCCCCGATCTCTTTGCTACCTGTCAGCAATTTGGTTCAGAGACGTCTGTGATCCTTGTCCTGTAGATTTCGGTCTCTGAGAGCTGTTTCACAAAGCCTCGGTGTGGTCTCATGTTTGTTTTGCATTCCAGAACGTAGTACCAAGCTCTCTATAAACAGAGGGAAAGCAGAGAAGCACCAGGAATTCGAACCAAAAATGAATCTCAGGTACGTAGACAAAGCAGACACACATGTGGATGACACAGCTTTGTATTTACTCCCTGTGTTGGACAGCAAGAGCCTGCAGATAAGACTTTGGCCACCAAAGTAGGGACAGACTGGATCCAGGTGTGAACTCTGGAGAAGCCTGTCACCTTCACACTGCTCTCCTGGATACAAGGACAGCTCAGGATGCTCTCACTACCTATCTTGTGGTATTTCACACTGATGGAGCAATGCAGTCCATCATTTCTACCCTAAAAAGCTGTTTCTTCCTTGGGTGATAAGTGAAGCAGTGAAGTATCGGCTATTCACAGGTAAGCAACAAAGGTTATCATGATTCTGGATTGGTATGACCTGTTGTGGCAGGGCAGCTATGAGAGTCCAGTTATCCCTCTGCATTAATTACAGCCATCTTAATTATTTGTTAGTTCCACATAATCAGCAAGGAAGTTTGCTACACACAGGGCAGATACATTGCCTTGCTTTACTTTAGCTGCATCCTTGGGTTTACCCAGTAGTGCTTATCTTTCTGCTTTTAAAATAGGCTCCCCCTGCACCTGGAGCATTGCTCAAGCGCAATGAGCCCAAGGGTTGGGAGATAGCGCTCCGCTGGTTTGCTTTCCTAATCTCAGGGATTCTGCAGGCTCCAAGGCTGATCTTCCAATATTTAGTCCTCTGGGCCTGTGATGTGGGTGTCTCCACTTCCCCTGAACTCAATGGACCTACTCACACATCAATTCCTAATAGAGTGAGGGGCTGCACATCCCAAATCTGCCTTTCTTTTGCAATATCCACGTCTTTCGAAGCTCTCAAAGATCTTTGCCTCAATTGGGTGAAGGATCACAGGGGAACCTGTTGCACTGCTTTTATCTGCAGGAAACAAACTTCTCCGCCAGGGTAACCCCCGAGGAAAGCTTTGCCCAGCCAGCAATGGGCAAGCACCCAGACCAGCAGCAGCACGACAGCCTTTTCTTCTTTTTGTCTTTTTTTTTGGCACTCAGTAAAGTGCTGAGACCAACCTGTTGATACCAACCGAGAGAAACTGCAAGGATCAGCCTTTGACTTTTGCACTGCCGTCGCAAGCACCTCCAGCAACCGAACGTGCAAGGGCACGGTTATCAGTGCGCAGCAATCGCACCCAGCGCCAGCAGCAGAGACAGAAGTGTCTGCAGCCCTGCTGGCACGCTCAACCTGAAATTACCCTTTGGCACACAGCGATAGGAAGAGATTTCCTCTTATGTTGCAAATGTTTGCACAAAATCAATTAAACGATTAGATACGGGCCCAGGTTCAGTGAAGCTTGGCTCAATCCTTTCAGGGTCCCAAAGGAGGAAGCACTTTCCAAGCAAGGATAAGATTTTTAAGGAGACGCCTCTCAGTTCCTGTGGTCGCCAGCCCGCTCCGTGCTGAGCAGGCACCGTGGGACGGTGCTTACAGCAGCACCGTGTCCCTGCATTGTATGCAAAGGGGAAAAGGGCCTGGCACCTGGGGAGGGGCCGTCCTGCTATTGCACAGCCAGGCTAATGTCAGTCATCGTTCATTATTTTTCTTACATTATTCAGAGCTATGGAACAGACTGTACCTGCCAATTAACTTGTACATCCCTCCTGGGCTACTATTAGCCCGTTCCAGATTTCTGCAGTACTACCTGTGGGAGCACATTGCTCCTGGAGAAATAAAACAGGATTTTGGAAGAAGCCACTGCTACCGAGCCCAGTGGTAAATCAGAGCCCTGCAAGCACTGGCTTCTGAATTTCACAGAATCACAGAATCGCTCTGTTGGAAAAGCCCTCTGAGATCATCACGTCCAACCGCTCCTGTCTACCCCCTAAACCATATCCCTAAGTACCTCGTCTACCCGCTCTTTAAACACATCCAGGGATGGTGACTCCACCACCTCCCTGGGCAGCCTGTTCCAGCTTCTGACGACCCTCTCAGGAAAGAACTTCCTCCTTATCTCTAACCTGAACCTCCCTTGGCACAGCTTGGTGCCGTTTCCCCTTGTTCTATCCCCATCACCTGGGAGAAGAGCCCAGCACCCACCTCTCCACAACCTCCCTTGAGGCAGTTGTAGGTGGTGATGAGGTCTCCCCTCTGCCTTCTCTTCTCCAAGGTTTTCCCTGTACCCCGTGGTATTAAGGGATGAGATTAACTCCAGTAGCTTCCAGATACTCTCTTTCCCAGATCCAGGAGAGCAGAAATGCTGAGATCTGTAACTACAGCTTTATTTTTATAGCCCCATAGTTAAGTAGGGAAATGCAAGAACATCACACACACCAGGGTAAGGACTCGCAGATCCAAAATCACACCTAAGCCACCTCCTTAATGGTATAAAAAAGATACAATCTGTTTTAATAGAATGTTACGTTATCAGGTGGATAGTCTGCAAGAAAGCACAGATAATGTCTTTCCCATTACTACAGTAAAGAGGCTTCAAAAACAGAACTAAACTGCAGATCCAGGCAGTATCTGAAGGAAGTGTGACAGTGATTTACCTTCAGGGAAAGCTGGCAGGAGTGCATGAGATAGGCCACGGTTACTGTGCTGCTCCGGCTGAGCCCCAGGCTGGAGAACTCCAGCACCGCTCCGTGACACAGCTGAGCATCTGAGTAAAGAAATGCCAATCACAAATTAATGATCTGGGAAATGAAGCTTCCAATTGTACCGCCAAGCTCGAATGCAGTGACAGCTGACAGGCGAGAGCAGCCTGAGCGACGGGAGCCCTCATGAACCCTGACAGCAGCAGATGGGCACTGCCAGCTCCCGTTTCTGTAAGCATCTGCCTTTTTAAAAAATCCACCGAGCTAAAACACGGCTTCGAAGACCAGAACCAAATGACAGCACCCAGTTAATGCTTCATTACAGATCAGCGTCACTTTTACATCAGATAACTGAGGAAAAGTGGTCTACCAGGACCAATCAGCTGTGGTCAGCATTACACCACCTACTCAAACTCTCCCCAGAAAGGTTTAAAGGTATAGAAATTTCTGATGAACACAAGTCTCACTGTTCTTCACTCAAGCTGGAGCAACCAGCTCTCAAACTGGAGGGCAGTTAGACTTCAAATCCCTTACTCCTCTGTGGGGACCATCAGCAGGGAGCACTTACATGCCAGCTAGGGCGCTGGTTTTATGATGTTTTTAGTGAAAGTTGCTAAGATCAGCAAACTCATTTTGTAAAAAAGCCAAGCCCAGGGATGCTGTCAGTCGCTCCTAACACCATCAACTCTGCTATCTATGCCTAGAAGGTTACATATTTTATTAATAACCTTTGAATTCCCTCCCTCTCCAGAGCAGACAGCACGACATGTTTTTAGCATATCAGCAACTGAACTCTAGAAGTCAGAGGGCAAAGCCTCTTCTTTTGCTGCTGTTGAGAGGTTGCGGGGTTTTGTTGGTTTTCAGTTTATTTTTCAAGCACTAAAACAATGATTTATAACTTATTTCTATCATGAGATACCAACTCTGTTCTATAAGACCTGAGTAGAAATGGCCTCACTCCAACCTGGCATGAGGATACCCATGCTCAGAGCACGTGGAGAGCTTCAGTCTGGTGCTCACCCATAACCATTCCAGTTTAAGTTATCTACTCTGGACTACCAAGTAAGCAGTGCACATTTCCAGAAGAGCTACAGCTAATAAACTCTCGTAGTTGTTTTGGAAACTTCCACAAACTGATATGAGAAAGAAACTTTCTACTGGGGAGAAAACCTGAGGCGAAATGAAAGGCAAGTAAGTGGATTTCAGTATTTGGGTTTCAGTGCATGAAAATAATGAAATTCAGCTCAGGAATACAAAATTATATCCTCAAGTATTGTTTCCCTCTTTCTTTGTGTCCAGTTGTCATTTCTTACGCTGTACTTGGATTATACGGGCTGTGGGGACAGGGTGCTCTTTTACTTCTGGGTCTGTACAAGACTCAGCTCAGCAGGGCTTTGGTCTGTGTTATTTCATAAGAGTGATAAAAGACAAGGGCGGGGTTGGAGCCCATCACAGGATGGAGCTGCAGGAGCGGTGTCTGCTGTGCTGCTGCAGGCACCGAGATGCTGAGGACGATTTTTCTTGCCTCCTCTGTTGTAATCAGCTGAAGGCAGGTTTATGCTGTCCAACCTGAAAGTCTTCCTAGGCCCTGTGGTGGGTCTGCATGGCAAACCACAACGATGAGCAGCGTCCTGTGGCAAGTTCTCTAACATGTGTCACACTCTAGTTCAAATACAGCTCTGGTGGTTGAGGATTTGGGCTAGTAAATGTCAAATGGGTTGTATTTAAGAACAAAGGAATAGGAGGGAATCCTGTGAAGCCCTGGTAGACATCCCGCAGCAAAGCCTTTTCGGGTGGAAAAGCTCACTATTATCAGAGTAAGGTATTCCTTAAAGTAAGTAGGAACACCAGAGCCAGGTACCCTATAAAGTCTCCTCTCTGTCCCAAAGGATGGTTTGTAAGGCAGCCCTGGCATCTGTTAGGGTGTGGGCTGACCTGGGAGTAGGCTGATCTTGAAAGATTACGACCCTTGTGTCTGAGCTTCCCGTTCGGGTGAACTGCAGTCCCTCCCATCTGATATCCACGAGTGAGCAAGGCTTCAGGAATTCCAAATCAGGAACAACTCACCTATGAAATGACTCACGGTGGAAAAGGAAGAGAAAAGATCCGCTTCGAGCCAATCTGGAACAGGTATATGGAGATATCTGCTGCCTTCTGCAAACCTGGAAAGCAGAGCACATATCATGACATGGACCAGAGAAGCAGCTTTGATAAAATGTGTTTGTTGGAGGCAAGCTGATAATTTTGCTTGCTGTTACATGTGAGTTTTTTCATTATAATCATCATTAACATTATTATAAGGGATTTGTTATCAGAAGACAGTGAAGTGCTTGTCTGCATTGCTGCTGTGCTAGCTTTGGAGTAGAGACCAGAAAAATGAGCAGGAAATAGCACTCAAAGTCTGCAGTGTTTTCCTCCAACCAGAGGTTTCCTTGGAAGTTCACAGGCAGTGACTCATCTGCAGACGGGCTCTGGTGCTGTGCCACCCCACTTTTTTCACTGGCACAGACACTGGTGAGGGTATATCTTGAACTACTTAACTTACAGTGTGGCAGGCTGTTCAGAGATGTTGACTTGTGCTTTGATCTTCAGATCTTTCTGAATTTGTTGGTCACAGGCCTGCTTGAAGTTGCCCATATATAATTTCGCAGGCAGTATTTCTACAGGGTATGTCTGGAAGTTGTCTAGTTCCTGCCAAAGAGAAACCACAGGCTCGGTTTAGAGCATGTATTTACTCCTGTTAGCTCGGTAAGTTCTTAAACACAAGTCACGTGAAGAATTGAACACACTCTGAGTCAACAGCCCATGACACATTCTAGTGTAATGATTCATTTAATCACCTGTACTTTCTGTACACTGAAGTCTTCGCTAGGTTTAGTGAGAATAATTATCAGCATTGCTGGCACGGTGGCGTTGCTTGATCCTAACTAAACAGGAGGCAGGGTATATTCTTTACATTGTCTGGAGGGACTGCAGCATAACAGATCTGTTTGATGTTTTCCCCGGTTATTGTTTGCGAGGCTAAATGAAACCATCTGCCACCTGCACAGCTGCAGATGCTCCATGGTGCCACAACACGAGTCCACAGCTGCTTCCGGGGCCTGCAGCACGAAGGCCAAGAACACAAGTACACAAGTAGTCGACTGCGCCTCTACATCGCTCACAATGCCACAGCAGAACAGAGCAGTAGCCTTGTGATTTAAAGCAACAGAGAACAACAGCCTAAACTGAGAGGCAAGGAGGTATCTGTGTCCAGTTGAACCCGATGGGGAAGCTCAGCAGTTTGCTGCCCTTCACAAAGTGAATGGATTGTCTCTCTGCAGGTTAGCACCGTGTCATGGGCTATTTCACAGGACCCAGAAGCGGAGAGGTACAATGGGAACAAAAGACGTCGCAATGAGATGCTTTCTGCTGTCCAGTGCCCTCTGAATCTGCCCTGCCTCGTGTCCTGTCCTAGATGTGAGAAAAGGCTAATTGTTTCTCATAAGCTAAATAAATCAATGTCTGTAGGTGAAACCAAGCAATCAGGATCCCAGTGTTCCAGTGGATGGCTGTTTTCTTTCTGGGCCTGTTGAAACAATGCAGCAGCGCTTGCTTTGTGATTCTTCCTAATGAAAAGCTTTACAGGCAAAGAACACAGCGCTTGATAGGAGTTGCACTTGTCTGAAGCCGCTGACTGTGGAACCTGTCAGAGGAACCTGCTGCTTTTCAAGTTTGCCACTGTTTGTTTAGTTATCTGTACTCTCCCTAGGCCAGTTTCAGGGTTATCACAGAAACCTCCCCTGGCTGTTTTCATGAGCTTTCTTTCACACAATAGAAGAAGGATAAAAAAGGCAAAGTGTGGCTGTAAAAGAATAAGTGGTGAGACTCAGGGCAAGCAAAGTAACTCAAATTACATTTAATTCCTTTGTTTGAAGTTACTCTGATACCAGGTTTACACCACCACTTAACTCGAATTCATTAGCCATCAGCAGTTGAATATGAATGCTAATGTCTTCTACTTGCAAACGAGTCTCATCTCACCTGAGGCATCCAGAAGATCTTCTGAGTCCTCAGAAAATTATAGCAAGCTGAAAAACGCTTGTATCCTCCCTGCAGGATGAGCACGGGGTGGCGGGTGAACTGCTCCAAGCTTCTGGCGTATTGCACTGCAGGTCCTTCCTCAGCATCTAAGGAGATCAGAGCTGTTTGCCAGGGCAGGGTCAGAGTGCCCCTCTCTGCACTGGGGCCTCCCTCTGCCCCCTGACAATGCCCCCAGCAAATGCCTTTTCATTTCACCTAACAGTCTGCAGAAAACCTTGTTAAAAGCTAGACTTATTCAACTGCTGCTGCAGGGCAGTAACAAGGCACGCTGCTTTTCACCTCTTGTCCTGATCTTTCATTCCTCTCCTTGTTTCTTTTGTAGGTCTAGGTAAAGATTTTTTTCCCTCTCCATTATTCTTTGGGAAGTGCTTCTAATAAGTTCTCACAATAGGGAAGTATTATTAATTTAAATCGAATAATCTTAGTTTTTATAGAGGCCCTGTTCTTTAGCATGCTTTAAGCAAAGAGGAAGCTATCCTGAAGAAATCCTTCACAAGTGCTTTAACATTTGCCTCAGTGAAGCAAATTATGTGAGGTGTCTGCTCCCCCTCCTTCTTTCTCCCAAGGGATCCATCCCACTCGCCTCCAGCGATGTCTGCTTTAGAAACAGATCAGCACAACAGAAACCTACTTCTGGTTCTTCACACCTTCCCTGCTACAGTCTCATGACAAAGCATTTAGGAACATGCTTGCTTTATTCATTCCCCTTATGCTCCCAGATTTTTTTCTTTAAAATTGATGTAAATCTTTGCTAAAACCAGAGTAGCCTTTATAAAGCTACTAGGAGCCAAACAAACAGAGAAGTGGTTCTGCACACGGCAGAACTCCTTGCCAAAGGATGCGTGAAAGCTAAACATTTCCACGGTTCAAGGAAGACGGAACAATTACACGGAAAAGTTTCCAGCCCTTCACATTTCTCAGTGAACTCCAGCAAATCGTCACCCCTATTAAAGCTAAGCCTTTTAAAATATGATAATGTGAAAGCTTTCATAATCCTCAAAGAAGGAAGTGCTCACTCTGTGAAGACACAGAACTTGGGTCAGTGTTTTCAACCTCTGAAGAGGCACTGCTCCCTAAAAGGCAATTGTTGGACAAGTCCTGGCTCAGTGAAATTTAAAAAAAAGAAGAAGAATCTGTTCCTCACATGTGACAAGGAACTTCAGGGGGCCCAGCCCACTGAAGATAGGAAACCAGACCTGCCAGGAAGCCTTGAAACAAAATCTGGACTTCTGAAGCCTGAGAACATATGCAACACAGTGAAAAACCAAAGGCACAGCACAGATGTTAGTTTTTCAAACACAACTGAGTAAATCTGCATCTCTTCCAATAAGGTCATAAAATTAAATGAGGAATGGGGAGAATATTTATCCTGCAGTGAGGTCTTGACTGACACGGGTCACAGGTACCTGTTTCTTTCTCCTCTTCCTCATAGTCACAGCAACCCATAGAGCTGGTCTCACAGTCACACACCACACAGTATCTTACACAGCTCACACAGAATCACAGAATCCCAGAACGTTAGGGATTGGAAGGGACCTCCAAAGCTCATCCAGTCCAATCCCCCTGCCGGAGCAGGAACACCCAGATGAGGTTACACAGGAAGGCGTCCAGGCGGGTTTTGAATGTCTGCAGAGAAGGAGACTCCACAACCTCTCTGGGCAGCCTGGGCCAGGGCTCTGTCACCCTCACTGAGAAGAAGTTTCTTCTCCAATTTCAGTGGAACCTCCTGTGTTCCAGACTTGCTCCTCGCAGTCTGGTACCAGACACTCCCCCGTTGGACTCTACCAGAACACAGAGGAAGTGTATCAGGAGCACAGCTCTGCACTTTTCTACTGACATTGTGCAAGTTGCTACCCTATAGCTACGGGGTGGGTGTGGGGCTGCATCTGTACTCAACTCTGAAAGACCCATTTAGAATCCAGAAATGATGCAAACTATGCGGGATTGCTTCATCAGCCGCAGTGGTGAAGGTGCCAACGCTGTCCTTTATGAGACAAGGCTACAATCTGTTAGTTCTTGTGCAATACTTCTCCCATGTACAGCTCCTATGTGCCAATCCTTTGGGCTACTGAAGCCACCTTTGCTATCTTTGTGACAGAAGACATCCCCCAGTGGCAGACATGGGGCATGGCTGGAGCAGGCAGGGGAGGCTGGGACGATTCCCAAGGGTTTTAAGGCCATTTTTTTCCTCGGGCTAACTGCTAAATCCAAGGGTGGTTCACACAAACGGTACTCCTCCCTCACCTGCACAATCCTGCGTGCTGTAATAATATGGCTCTCATCGTATTCACACTGCATAGGAGCATCTGAAAAAAATAACCAAGACAGAGCAATTGACTTATTTGCTGCTTTTAAGGCAGAATCCTGCCCCTGATTCAGTCAGTGGGAATTGAGACAACCAGAGAAAGAGATTCGGTTTCTTAGAAACCATGACTTTCTGATGTGGATACAATGAACCTCATTGCCAATGTGAATCTATGTGTAACACCAAATGACGCCAGCAGCTTTAGTCCTGACCCAAGCACGGTACTGCAGCGTTCACAGTGTCAGTTCTGCTCCATTCTGCTTTGCACTCTGGCCCAGCCTGGCCCCACTCACTGGGCCTACTCTGACCTCCTGGTGGCCAGCACCTCTGTCTCTGTGCTGCCCCAGAGGAGGGGAGAGGGGCACCGGAGACACCCCAAACTGGCTGACTCCCTTGCCGAAACAGGGCAGAGCATGTACCCTGGGACGGATCAGAGCAGGGACAGCAGGACAGAGAATCATAGATGGTTTTGGTTGGAAAAGACCTTTAAGATCATCAAATGCAACCATCGATCCAGCCCTGCTAAGTCTGTCTCTACACCATGTCTCTAAGCACCACATCTACTTACCTTTTAAACACCTCCAGGGATGGCGACTCAACCACCTCACTGGGCATCCTGTTCCAGTGCTTGACAACCTTTTCAGTAAAGAAATTTCTCCTAATATCAAACCTAAACCTCCCCTGGTGCAACTTAATACCATTTCCTCTTGTTCTACCACTAGCTACCAGGGAGAAGAGACAGACACTCCCCTCCCTCCCTCACTACCCCATTCTTTCTGGTAGTTGTAGAGGGTGATACGGCCTCCCCTCAGCCTCCTCTTCTCCAGGCTGCACACCCCCAGTTCCCTCAGCCAAGGGATGACAGAGCCAGAGCAGAACAGGGTCAAGGCCCCTGAAATGAGGTGGGAGAAATGTCCAACAGCCAGGCCCCAGCAGTTACAAGAAGTAACGCGGGCTCTGCCCCGCAACCCCGGGCCCTCAGGCGCTGCCTTGCCCGGCGCAGGCCGCGCCTCACCCAGCAGACAGAGGTAGCCGGGCTCTGCCAGGCGGGGGTACCGCCGGTGCTGGTTGAGGGTGTTGTAGAGGCGGCGAGGCTCGCACAGCGCTATCC